AGGCCATAGGGACAGGGCACAAAAAGCTGACCTGGAGCAGGTCTGAAAGCCATAGGCACAGGGCACAAAAAGCTGACCTGGAGCAGGTCTGAAAGCCATAGGGACAAGGCACAAAAAGCTGACACTGGAATTTGTGAATGTCGGGGTGGGGGCTGGGTTAAGCCAGCAAGCTCTCACAGCCAGTGGGGTTCAGTTTAAGGCAAAGGAAAATCTCCAGTGGGTTTGGATTGGCTCCACGCTCAGGCCTTCAGGAGCAGGACTCTAGGATGGTTGCAAGGTAAGGAAGGAAGGGTTGATTTGGGCTCACACTTGGGTCTGTCATGGTGGGGAAGGCACAGGGACAGGGGCTGAGGCAGCTGGCCACACGTGTCCACAGTCTGGAAGTGCAGAAAGATGGCACGATGCTCAGCTTGCTTTCTCCTGATTGCTCAGGCAGGGACCCACTGTCGCTGTGCATAGATTTGGGGTAGGTCTTCCCACCTCAGCCTGGTCTGTAAACTCCCTTCCTGACATGCCCAGAGACCTGTTTCCATGGAGATTCTAAATCCCATCAAGTTGACAAGATTAACCCTTACACCAACTTAAAGGGTTCACTGGTGCTCGCCACCTGGTTCTGTGACACTTGCTTTGTTTGCATCACAACCTGTTTCTGCTGACAGATGATATGTCTCTTCAGAGGCCACCTAGCTCCCAGGTGCTGTCATTGAGACTAGATCCCATAATCAGTGAACTGTGGCGGGCAGTGCCCTCAACCCACAGAGGGCCGGGCCACTATGTCCATCTATGTCCAGTGCGCTGCTGCCTGTTGGGGTTGCTGGCAGGGACCTTGAGTCTAGCATCACTGGCTTTAGAACCATGGCCGGGACATTGCCACCCAGCATGAGTGGCTCTCTATCCTGGGTCCATGTTCTGAGGCAGCATAGCTTTAAATAAAGTTGTCATTGCCTCCAGAAGATTTGGGGACCTGTGCCCTCTCTCATTTCCATTCTTACTGGTGTTTCTGTTAGGAGACCTGTCTCCTCTCTGAGTCTCCTGTGTCCTCAGCCCCATGTCTCTGCTTCCTTCCCGAGAGAAGGGGAGGTGCCAAAACTGTAGAAACTTTATTTCAGTTTACACTTGCCTGCTGAGTGGCTCCTCCCTCAAAGACTCTTCTGTCCGCATTCCCATGCCCCTTAGGTCACCCCACATATGTATACAGAAACCATCCCTCCCCCCCTGTGAGGTCCTGGATGCCACAGCCACCGCTTTCTCCCTTCACCCCTGCTTCCCTCTGTGGCAGAGAGGCCTGGGCACACAAGTCCTTTTGGGAAATGCTGTGCAGAGAACTGCAGTGCCTGAGCCAGCAGAAAGACCAAGAGGATTATGTCCAGCACTTGATTGGGTCAGCAAGTAGTCAGTGATTAGCCTGTGACAGAAACTGTCCTAGAAATAGGGAACAAAGTGACATGTGCCTCTGCTGTTGAGTTGACATCTGTCCCCGCTGAGCACACCTGAGCCCTGAGAGAACATTCAGGCAATTGGGTGAGGCCTGGGAGGGTGAGCAGGAATTCTGTGGTGATTGCCCCACTGGGATCTTTGCGTGAATAGCTGGGTGTAGCCCACACATAGGTAACTGAGCCATCTAAGGCGGCCCCGGGCAGGCCTCCAGGGAGCTGGTACTGCTGGTCTGCTCCCCAGACCCGCTGGGCCTGACTCTCCCCATCGATACGGTTCTCCTTGCAGGGTTGTCTGAGGCAGCCATGAGTATGCTAAGTGGGGTGCTTGCCCTGGACTCGAGCTCACTTCCACACTCTGGTCACAGGCTCGTAGCCAGCTTTGTGGGCCTATGGGAGGTGCTTTCCATGAGCATATACTGTGTGCTCTGTTCTGGGGGGTACAGGACACAGTGACTCAAAGCAAGGTGCCATGCTTACTGTCAGAGGTCGATAGTCTCCTACCTGAGAGTGAAATCCTTCACAACCTGTGGTGGATGTGGAAACCACTCTTCCCAGCCAGGGTGTTTTGGTATCTCACACTGAGCTCTGGGTTAGACTGCCAGTCTCTGTGAAATACCCTGTAGGATGGAAGAAAATGGCTACCGGTCTCCTGAGAAGGCCAAAGCTGTAGGAGAAGATGGAGGTCTTCTGAAGTGCCTGCTCTGCCACTCCAGAATGCTGTTGAGTTATAGGTGACATCATGTGCTTTCTCAGGCTAGGGGCCACAGCATACTGGTTATAACCACCTTTCTCCCCGTCTCCCCCAGGCACATCTCCCTGACGCTGCCGGCTACCTTCCGAGGCAGGAACAGCGCCAGCACAGACTATGAGTACCAGCTCTCCAACCTGTATGCTCTATCAGGTATGCGGGCCCCCGTCACAGGCATGCCAGCGCAGAACTGTGCGTGTGGCCACCGTCACAGGCATGCCAGCGCAGAACTGTGCATGTGGCCACCGTCACAGGCAGGCCAGCGCAGAACTGTGCCTGCTACTGCCTCACAGTCCCCGGCCATGCTGTCTCGTCCTGCAGAACCTGGCCTTCCCTTTCCTTTGTGTAGGAACTTAGAGAAAGGCCAGTGGTGTGTTTGGAAGCTAATGAGGTACAGTGTGTTGGTTTCTCAGGTTGGGGTGGGGGGACATTTATCACATCCTTTATCTGCCAGTGCAGGCAGGCCCTGCTGTACACACAGCGCTGCCCGCCATGTCCCTGCCTGTCCTCACCTCAGTTTCTCACAGGCAGCGTGTGTCCATCAGGGACACAGCCTGTTCTCCCACGCACACCCAGCGTCCGTGTCTGTGGTTTCTGACTTAGCCTGGAAATGGATAGCGTTCCTGTGGCAGGAACTTCATCAGGGAAGAGAAAAGGGACGGCCTCACTACAGAACAAAGATTCATGAGGTGTGAGGCCATACAGGTGACTCACCAAGAGCCCAGGAAGCCCACAAACACCCCCATCACTGGGGGCCCAGACAGGGTTGTTTGTCAGGGGAACACGGTAAATTGGCGCCACTTACCAGCACACATCCTTAATGCTGAGTGACATTTCGAACATGGGAACATGACATCCATTCATGTCCCATAATGAATCGGTTATTTAAAAGGTAATCTCTCTCTCTTTTCTAAAAACTGTAGCTTCAGGTTACTAAATCGGTGAGCTCCCACAGTGGTGTAATTCCTGTCAGTGTGCGTTCCTCTCCTTATGATCACTCCCTAATAGGTTTGGAAGTGAAAGCAAAGGCAGATTGTTCCATTTCTGGGCGACACTCCTGCTGGGAAGGGGGAGCCCTGAGTCCCAGCTCTGGCTATGCTCCAGGAGCCAGGGCAGGGGGGAGGGGTGGGTGGTGTGTGTCTAAGAAAAGTGTCTCTGGGGAGCACTGCTTCCGTACCATGACTATTTCAGGAGAGTCATCGAGGGAACTTAACAAGTTTGGAAGAATGGCCTGTTGTATAGAAACACTGACCTTTTCCCCAGATGCTCAGTGTCAGGTACATAACAGGACTGTGGAACCCAGATCCACTCCCCTCAGAGCCACGCAAGGACAGTGCCCTCACACTCTTCTCATCTGCAGCTTGCACATCTTACAGCTTTGGCACCGGGCAGCACCCACCATCCCTGTGTCCTCTGATGGCTTTCCCAGATGTTGATGCTGCCTCAGCAAATGGCCCACAGGGCACATGCTTTGGTGTGGTAGGAATGTTCTCATCTGCTCTGGACTGCTGCTTTCTCAATGCAGCGTTGATGAAGTGTTGACTGGACTCATTTCAGCTGCTGGTTTAGCAATAGCAAGGTAACAGCCTTAGGACACAGGGGAAGTGGGTCAGAAACTTCCTGTCCCATTTATATCCATGACAATCTGTGGGATTTTCATCTTCAGAGGTAGTTGAGGCTCTAGCCCAGACCACAGACAGCTCAGGTCTCCTCAGCAGCTGCAGGCACCAAATCACTCTGCCAGGAGCTGCCTCTCACAGGGCCACTAGAAATACCCTGTAGACCCTGGAGCTCCATGGAGGCCTCCGGCCTCACTATGGCAACTAGTGGAAGGGGAACTGGGAAGTTTATCCACCCCCTTCCATTCCTCCACATTGTCTGCCTACCTCTGTCTGTTCTAACTCAAGGACACAGAAACCACTCTGTCACCCCCACATGACTCTATCTGGTACCAAGTGGCACACATCTCAGTTTGGTATAAGGGTTTCTAGAGGTTTAGACCAAAATCAGCTGAGGTGACACGTGCCCCAGCCAGCCAAGCCCAGTGTTGACTCCCCAACACTGGAAGTTCTGAAAACCATGACATAAATCATCAGACCCTCTCCTCCCAGATGCCAGTGCAATCAGGACACTCTTCCGATGCTGAGCCCTTGGCGCATGCTCTCTGTGGTTCCTGAAGATAGACATAGCCATTTGATAATTTTTGACCCTTTCTGAGATAAGATGTTGGAACAGTGTGACTAGGAATGTAAAATGCAGTCCTATTGAATAAGTGTGGGGACATTTACTTTCCAGTCCCCTTCACTGAGCCAAGACAGTCTCCTTCCACCCGAGAGTATATGTACAGAGCCATAGCTCAGAGCTCCTGTGGCAGCAGAAGAGGCCATGCAGGATGCTGCCAGGCCAAAGTGTTGAGCTAACATCTGTTCTGCCCAGGAACACCAGACAAGTCCCTTGTCATGTGACCTGCTACCTGCAAGCTTCCAGGGTCTAGGGCTACCACCTCTGCCAGCTTGCTCCCTGTCTTTGGCCTCCCCTCACCAAGCCAGGCTCTGCGCTTTCATAGCCGTGTAGTGGTTTTTGGTCTCAGCACACGTCAGGCACACTGGCCATGATCTACCCAGTCCAGAGAATAGTTCTTGCTAGTGGAAGCAGGTGAGAAACTCACTGGCTCAGTGAAAGTCCTGGAATGTTCATATCCATTTTGCTGCCATCTTGAACCCCCCTTCCCCCCTCAAAAAAAAAGCCATGGAGGGTCACTTGGCCCTCATCCTTCCTCTCCTGGCACTGTCTTCTAGAAACTTCTTACGGATGTGCAATCTTACTTATCAAAAGAAGAGCTGGGTACCCACTAGGGTGAGGACTGTTGCCTCTGAGGCAAGCAGAGAAAGTGAGTATGGGCAAGGATGTCCTACGAACTGTCTGTCCAATGGCCTGGCATTTTAGTCATAAATGAAGGAAAAATACACACAACGTTGCCTTGTGAGGAAAAAAAACCTAATTGAATGTTCATTGAGATCTCTTTTTTAAAATATAAGTTCTAAGAAGATCCATACCAATGTGTTTAAGTCACTTTCTTCTTGCCGTGGGCAAGCAGTGGCTTGTGCATCTCTGACTGTCCCCTCTCATGCTGTCCTTTCTTGAGTGAACTCCATAGTCATGTGACTGCGGCCTATATGTTCCTCTAAGATATGAGTCCCTTTGAGGGTTCCTCTTGGCCTCAAATGGATCTGACTGGACACGTCACAAACAACCCTGAGGACTTTACCCGACTCCTCCTTTTTAGTATATCTTTTTTTTTTTAGGATACTCTTTAAAAGTTTAATTTTTATGTGTATGAATGTTTTGTCTGTATGTATATGCTTGTGCTGTGTGCCTGCCTAGTGCTCACAGAAGCTAGAAGAGGGCACCAGACCCCCCACCCCCGGAACTGGAGTTACAGATGATTATGAGCCCCAATATAGGTGCTGGGAATTGAACCCAGATCCTCTGGAAGAACAACCAGGGCTCTTAACCACTGAGCCATTTTTCCAACCCAGCATCTCTTATTAATAAATAGTCTTCTATGCCCTGTCAGCAGTGGCAAGGACAGAGGCACATCTGTACTCTATTGCCTGCAGTATCTAGTTGTTTTAGGAACCTAGACTTAAGTAAAGCAAGACACACTTGACTTTGATACAAAAAGAAATTTCAGGATGAGCCAGCATGAAGCAGGGTCATAGCTTGTTAAAGTAGAAAGGCACCACTGGAAAGAAGAAGGCATCCCCAGAGCACAGGGGTTTGGGAGTAAGGAGTGGATGGGGATGGGAGGATTCTCAAAGCAGGCCTCAGCTCGGCTCAGCATCCCAGCAGCAGCTGTATGCAGTGTTTCAGTGACTCTTGAGTTAACCTCAAGTGCTTGTTAAGAAGCCACCCCCTCCTTTTTTGATAAGATTGGTTTTGGACTCTGGGTGTTTCTTGGATAAGACTCAGAGCCACTGCAGTCTTGCAAAGGATCTCGGATGTGTCTTTTCTCTGTAAGGGGCTTTCCCATTATACATTTAGAAAACTAGATTTTGGGGAGGTGTGTTGGAATTTTTGGGGAGCCAGCTGATAAGAGCTTCATCCAGACCCTGGAGTGAGGAGCTCCTCTCCTGGCCTGCCCATCATGTTTCCCAGAGGCTTTCTTTTTCTTATAACTTTCTTCAGATGTTTAGATGTTCTGTTTCACCTGGTCTAAGGATGATTTTAGGTGGAGCCCAAAATACATTCAACAAAATCAACCTGGATGAGAGAAAATGATAGCCAGGTTCGGGGGGGGGGGGTAGGCTGCCAGCTGTCTGACAGTGGGATTGTTGGAGAGGTGCTAAGTATCCTTTTTCTTGATCACAGAAAATAGTCTTTCTTCCCAGAACACTGCAAGTGGAGAACAACTCCATGTGTGCGGTCCTGAAAGCGGAATGGAGTGAGCAGAGAGGCTGCGAGTGTGTGTCTTGTTGCAGCCAGCCCTGTCTCTAGTTCTGCTCTGTGTGATATTCCAGGTGGATAATTATCCCACAGATACATATTGAAAATCGCAGGTCCATCAGGCAACTCTGTATGTGGGTTGGAGAACTATAAATATTTACATTCATGGGCATTCAGTTCTTTTCATAGCACACCCAACTTTCTGTGCCAATAATGGTGTTTGATGAGAACAGTCCATGCGGCCTAGGGAAGGGTGTCTGTTTTCAGTTTAAATGGCCCACATCACTGGAGACCTTTGTGAGAAAAATGCACCTAGGGCACTGGATGCACCTCTCCAGCTCATGCTGTCACACACTGTGCCAGGCGGCTACCAGGACAGCACAGCTGTTCCAGAGGACTCCCGAGGGGAAGGTCTCCATGCCGTTTCCTAACCCAGGGTGCTTCTTCAGCTATGACAGATGTGCTTAGTGACTGAGCTTCCGAAGCAGTGGAAGCTAGGCACTCAGGCCTTTGTTGACTGCAGTTGTAGGCTTCACAAAATTGCCCTTTTTAAAATAGTTTTTTTAAACTAAAATATAATTACAGTTTCTCCCTTCCCTTTCCTCCCTCCAATTGTCTTTTAAACCCCAGAAAACTTTGTGGGAGGGCATTAAAGGTAGAAAAATTAAGCAAATACAAATGAAAACTGGCAAGCAAGGGAACCCAAA